CAGAAACAGCACTAGCAGTGAGAATTTTGATTGATTCATATGTTTCATTTGGAAACTAAATAGAAATTTGAGTCATTTATGCTACTATCAGCTGAAATTTGTGTTTGTTTTGGGGGATGAAGGACAGAACAGGATTTGGAGAGTACAGAAGCAAATATACTCTGATATGGACTTTCTCTATAAAGGCTCTTCTCAGAGCCATGGACTGGTGCAGGGAACCGTGAAATAAATAATTTTGCCTGAGGGCTTATTTTCCTGGGTTTTAGCACTGAGAGGCAGTACTGGTATCCTATCGTGTGCTGACACAAGCTCCTAAAAAGTTCAAAGCATTGTGTAAGGGTCCACTTGTTTGCAGTCAGCATATGGATACTTGGGGGTGCAAGTGGTAGGGAACCAAGAGATGCTAAAAGCAATGGGTGTGAGCTGCCATTTCCTATGGTTGTAAGAGGCTATGAATAACAAAGATCTTATAGCAGTATATCGTGGCTTCTGTAGAGTTCTGAGTTTTCTTGCTCATGGGAAATAGAAAGCTTTGCCATTTGCAGAGAATTGATCTTGCACAAAGACCAGCAAAGGAGATACTGATCTTAGACCTGCATTTCAGGCCTTGTCCCAGGGGCTGTTTGTGCATTTCACATAAACGTGAAACGTGAAAGGCATAAACAGTCCTTGGAGAATGGAATGGAAGCCAGATAAATTCCTATAAATTGCAGATGAAGTGCCTGTAGAACCTGCTGAATCTGGAAAGTATCTCTTTACAATTTTGTGTGCAGGCAACTGAATTCCACCCCTCTGTCAGAGCTGGCTGCCCAGCCAGGCTGCCTTGGGTGATGCCAGGCTGCCATGGGGCTGCAGCCCTGCTCTCAGCCTACCCACGGGGAGTGGCAACACAAGCAGGGAGTTCTGGTGCCCAGCATTAGGAATGTTCACTGGCTGTATAATGGCTGTCAAACGTATAAATCATTAACACTACAACATGCTGAAGTGTTCCTGTAGTGTAAAAACATTTGGAAGATTCCCCAGAGGAATGTATACAGAAACCACATCAGGCAGGTCTTTTCCTGCTTTAAACAGCATTATTTCCCATAAACAGTTAGTGCACTTATTGATTTGAAAGTTATATAAGCTTATGTGTGTTTTAAAGTTTTCTAACCATGTCTTTCAAAAATCAAGTAAAAATCTGGAGCCCTAGAATGTCAAAATGACATTTGAAATAGTTCTGAAAAATTGTAATTGATAAATATGATTATTTTTTTCAAGCCAATCTTGGGATTACTTGGAGTTGACTTATCTCTTCTGAACACCATATTGCCAAAATAAAAATGGGAAGGATAGAAAATAGGTGGTACATAGCAGATAGGAACAGATAATTACCTCTGGAAATGGGCTGACCCAAATTACTAAAATTAGAGCAAAATAGTAAAGGAGGAACAAATTAAATCTAAAAAAATTTCCAATACTGCAGACTGAATTTAGAATGTCGACTGAAAAAAAAATTACAGTTTTTAATTTTGTTGTGCTAACAGCTACCTCTGCTGTCCCAGTTCCTTGTATGCATTGAATGTTTTGATTTTTTTAAACATAGCATGTACCCAAAATCTAAATTTTCTCAGCACATGAAATATCACACCATGCTTTAACACTCAGCTAGTTATTGGAAACTAATAATTAAAAGTTTGTTATTCTGAATGTGCATTTTGCACCCACACAGTATGATATTCTATTTATCTTCATCTTTAAGGTTGAAGATGGATCAGGTCAGTAGGAAAGTGCACAAAGTGCAAGGGTAGGGCTTGAGAAACACAGCTTTGCTGTAGTAATTCCTCTTCCATCAAGTTTTCCATGTTTTTCAGCCCATTTATTTTTTCTTCAGCACATAACTGGGGTTAATGAAAATATTTCAAGAATGAAAATGCTGTGAAGTCATTGTTGTAGGTGTAATACCGGGAAGTGCTTTTTATTTGACCTTTAGGGATCCCCAATTGCATTTCCTCTTTGCAGTGTCCTTTTAGAGCCATTAGAAAGATTATCTGCCCCAGAGGGTGGTTTAGGTTCTGCATCTTTGTTTCCCCGAGCGCGTTCTCTGTTCCCGCGCTGCCAAATTCCCTGCCCTTGGTGCCATTCGCGAATTTCCTCCACGAGACGGGAATGCCAAGGGAAACCTGCCATTTTCTGATGCGTTTCCTGTGATGCACTGTGATAGGAAAAAAAAAAAAAAAAGCAGCAAGTTTCTCTTTCTCTCCGCACCGCTGGATGTCACTGCTACCCAGGCAAAGTGCAGGTCAGCCGTGAACCCGATCTGCAGCAGAAGATTTGGGTAACAGGTTCCAGGAGCAGACCGCTGTAGGGTCCGATTCGACTGGAAGAAAGCTGTCGGAACAGACATCTATTCCTGCGATCTTTTCACTTGTATGGACGTTTTCCTTTCAAGAATAAGAAACTCGGAGGAAGGATATACTGTATTGACGGACACGGTCTGTGGTATATGGCTATTTCTAAGCGGAGGGAATAAATTATTAGCAGTCTCACTGCGATACTTACAAATGTAATCTATTGCTCGTTTGTGGTACTAATTTCCGCTCCTGCCTTTGTCTCACGGACTGTCCGGGCTCGATCGAGGGGGTCGGAGCAGAGAGGTGCGACAGCCGCTGCTAACAGCAGAGGGAGGTGGGGAAATGCTGTGGGGCTGAGGATAAACTTAAATCACTGATTCAGCCTGATCTCCTCGAATTTGATTGGGTGTCTGTCAGCTTCACCCTAATTTATTATTCTTCTAATCGATCTCGAACGTGTTATAAAGGCTTTCCCTGAAATTATTTCTGCTTTCTCTTTTAGATCCAGCTGCTGATTTCTTTGTATTTGAAGTTGCTTAAGATCTCTCTCTCGCTTCTGTGGGCTTTGTTTCCTTGCACACCCCTCTCTCTTAACCTCATAATTATCAAAACCACATGACAATTCCAACTGTAACTCCGATTTCTGGATGCCTCCCTCCATAAATAGAATTTTTTTTTACACTGAAAAATGGTATTTGGTGATAATGTTGAACATATACAGTGGTGAACAGCTCTGGTCAGGCCATTTTCCACCAGCTGCTCCTCATGAAGATTTCATTTATTTTAGAAAACGTTTTGTAGTAGTCAGAAGAAAACAACATTAAGAAACCATACATGAATATCGGCCTGCACATGTTCACTTAAAAAATCAGATATCCTATTTTCATTCCTGTGGGATTATTACACCTCTTACTGCTGAAGTGAATGTCGTTTAAAAGTGTTCCAATTTGCTCTAGCACTTAGTTAATGGTTTCTGTGATGGATGAGACTTTTACTCCAACTTTCTTGACAACACAGTGAAGCACTGTGTGGAGATAATGTCAAAGGCAAATAAATAGGACACAGAGCTGTTCGAACCAGCTCCATGCTGACAGTGAACACACTCAATTCAACTATGCTGTGAACTGCTAACATTAACCATTTTACAAACAGTAAATTGCAAGAGAAACTTATTTTATCGACAGATGCCCTTACTAATTCCACAGTCCTTGCATCCTAAAGCTGCTGAATTTCCCTGAAATTTCCCATTTTCCTTATTGAATCTTAGAAGTTACTATTGCACCATCTTCCTATCTCCTAAGGAATACTAGAGCTTTCTGTCTTGGCTCTGGACTTTCTGAAGACACGACTCAGCACTCTGAGATTACTTCAGTACTTCTGAGATGGAGAAAGGATCTCTTCTAGTTCTTCTTAACATCGGATAATGCAGTGACCTTTCTGAGCTCCCGTTCCCCTCTTAGATTCTGCTCAACATTCAGGTAGTTTTTCTGGCATCTTCTGTCAGCTTTAACACTCAGTTCAATTTTGCTTTGGTTTGTAAGAAGGCTTGAGCAAGCTTGGGGGAGGCTGGTAAATGGTCCCCCTCTTAAAAAAAAAAAAAACAAAAACAAACACCAGCAACAAACAAAAACCCAAAACAAACCAAACCCTTCATTTATTTAAACAACTGCGTGTGGGAAATGTGAAGGAATCTTGATCATGTGAGCGGTGAGTGGGTGACACACTGGTGTGTATCGGCTTTGTCAGACCTCAGAAGGGGCTGGGTGAGGGGTGCTGTGCATTCGCCATTAATTCTAGCAGGCTTTTGGTAGTCAGCTTTGACGAGTGGAGAATTAGCACACTAGAGAAGTGCTAAGCTCACACCTTTGATTGCTCAACAGTTCCTTTCAGTTCAGTGCGATTGCTGCTGTCTTTGTGAGCGGGCTTGTTCCTGATCTGGGGGAATAAAGGATTCCTCAAAGTCCAAGAGCTGGAGCGGGTGAAGAAACTGTAGGCAATGAGGCAGCCGTGTGGTGCTGCACTACCTCCCTTGGCCTTGCCTTCCTGCCACAAATGTATTTTCATAGTTAGCGAGACATTAGTTTCGCTCTATGTATGAGCAAGGGAATGAAGGTGACAGAAGCGTTTCCCTGTGTCAAGAGAGATCAGAAGGTGTGGAAAGGGAACAGAAGGGGAGCGTGGATGCCGGGAGCCGAGCGAGTCGGCAGGGGAGCATTTCCCACCTGCCAGGCGGCGGCTGCCTCAGGTGGGAGCTATCACCCGCTAACTACACGGCTTTTAACGCTCAGCCCTCCCTGCCCAGCGTCTTTCTCGGGAGGTGTAAAAGCCCTGGGACGCCTGAAGACTCAAAAGACTCTTCAGGGTCATTGTGTTTTATGTCTTTCCTTCGCCTTCCGGCTCTCCAGGTAGGTCGGGCCGTGCCTTCAGCGTGGCTCAGCATGCGCTGTGTCTGACGCGCCGGTTCGTGCCGCGGAGCCCCGCGGGTGAGCGGCGCGGCCGCGGCGGGCCGGGCGGAGCCCCAGCGAGCCCGAGCCGGCGAAGGCGCGGGGCCGGCCGGGGCGGGGGGAGCGCCGGGCGGGGTGCGGAGCAGAGCCGCGCTTCCTGCACGCCCCTTTGTGCGGAGCGCGGCGGGCGGGCGTGGCCGGGGCTCATTTCCGCGCTGCCTGGGCCCGGCGGGCCGGCTCGGCGCAAGGGCACGCCCGGCGGGCACGCCTGGCGCTCCGGCCGAGCGGACGCGGGGAGCAGGCTCCGGCTCCATGGACTAGCCGCGGCAGCGGAGGGACCTTCGACCGCCCGCTCGGCGAAACTTAGCGAGCAGGCTGCTGCCCCGGTGAGTCCCTGCCCGCCCGGCCGCCCCGGGGGTCCGCCGTGCCCCTTTGCTCTCCCTGCCTTGGAAGGCCGGCATTTGTACCCCTCTCCCCGGAGCGGCTCCCCGCAGCATCCCCGGGGCTGGCGAGCCGGGCGGGGAGCAGCCCCGGCTGCCCGCGGTTCCCGGCAGCGCGGGGCCGCGGCGAGCCCCTGCCATTGTCCTTGTCCATTCAAGGAAGCCGGGGAGGCCGGGTGAGGCTTCCTCTGGGAGCTCAGGCTAGCCTGTCTCGTTGAGGTGCCACGAGGGAGAAAAATAGTAATAATAACAAAAATTAAAATAGTAGAAGAAGGCCTTTCGGAGTGCTGCAGGCAGTCCGCCCGCTCCGTTCTCCGCCGCCGCCCCGCTGCTGCCGGACCCTGCCCTGAGCCCAGGCTGTTCAGAGGGGGCAGCGGCGCAGCGAGTGTAAGGATTGAGGCCCGTAACTTAATTTTTAAAATATTTTAACTTTAATGGCCTGTCGGCTGTCGTAATGAGCGACCTCTCTGGCACCCTTTCAGCCTCCTGCCGTAACAGGCCCGGCCGTGGAGCGTGGGAGTACCAGAGGTGATGCTCCATGGTCAGTTTTGTTTTGGCTCTTGCTTTATCTTCTGTGCTCTGTGTAGATTTAGCGATTTCATTCTGAGGCACTCTGAATAAAAAAAAGAAAGGAATAAAACCCCACAAAGAATCCTAACCCATGCTGTAAAATAAGGTAGTTGTTGGGTTTTTTTTTCCTCTTTTTGATGGATCTTCCAAGGAGGTGGTGGTGGAGGTATGAAGGATATTTTAAAATAACTGGCAGGACAAAATTCTTCCAGCACTGCTTTTTAGTTTCGTTGGGTTTTTGTTTGTTACAGTGACATAAGCCTTGTGACCTAGAACTCTGGATAAAATGGAAGGACACGGTGTTAATAAGTGCTCTCTGGTGAGATGATCCATCTCGTTTCTGGCTATCTCCAACAGGGAGTAAGACATCAGTACTGAGACACTTTATGCTCACAATAAATGTGTGATACTTGACATGCTTTTGGTGTGGAAGGTTGAGGTGCTAGCACTATCTGTTTGACAGAAGAATTGTGTGCAGAGAGAAGAGATCTGGTGGGAATTCAGGTCTAGTCATTAGTGTGAAGTAGGAACGAGCTGTGGTGGAAACTGCTTTTGCAGGTTTTGATTTGGTTTGTGTGTCTTGGTTTTTTTTGGAGGAATTCAGGATACTTTTGTTCGTAGAGTGGTGTTCTTTATCCTTTGGTTAATGATAATGGATAAAATACTTTAAGTGTGTGATCTATATCCTTTTAGCTCTGTTCTTGGAGGATGGAATATAGTGTTGTTGCCTGTCCTTAGAAGGTTGTCTTGTTCAAAACTATAATGCCACTGAAACAGGATTTTTTAGAAATAGCTTTCCAGAAGTTTGTAAGTTTATTTATATTGAAAAAACAATGTGCAAGTAAGTTACACAGTTGGCATTTTGGTTTATGTTTGTTGATTTTGTTCATAGGTGGACTTGCTGAAGGTGCAGTCTGTGTCTAAATCACAGTCATGGAAAGCTGGTTTTCTGGGTGGTGTGTGCTCTGTGTGTTGTTTTTTTTGTAAGTCGATCCAGTTATCTTCCTTTGTAGCTTCCTTTTTGTTGTTTCGTTATCTCCAGTCCCCAAATCAGAAGAAAACTCACTTCAGTCTTGTTGTTGTTTCTGGGCACAGATTTTGTCCGACATTTAGTGCATTGTAGACACACTAATCTTATTGTTTCCAAAGCCTCTTTCCTGTCCTTCCTGCCTCCTTGTAGGAAGCAGGAGGGTGGCAGAAAAGAAGGAAAATGTGTGATCTTTTGCTAGGAGCGGTGTCTGTGCAGAGCATTCCCATGGGTGACATACCTGACAGCACTGCAAGGGAGTGTGCTCTGGGCTGCCTTTTACTGGCGTTAGGCCTTGTAATACTTAATGAAAGGACGATAAAAAGCCCTTGCTCTAAGCCCTAAGATGCTGTTTAACTGGGGTACTTTCTTTGGTATTGAAGGTATCACTTTTTGCTCTTGGGTGTAGCAAGAAAATTGTGTCTTATGAATTTGGTTATATCTGGATGATGAATGAGTTTATTGTATGTTTCTAATGAATAGCTGAAGAATATTGGATTGTTGTGAGACTGACTTCTGATTTTCTTAAAAAGTATTTTTATTTAGTTTATGAATCTTTAGTGGGTCGTTACTAATGTGCCATTACCTGTAAACATGTGTTTGGAAAAAAGAGGAATTTTTCTGCTGACAAACTACTACAATGGATTCTCATAGTCTGTCAAGTTTCTCATTGTGGATTAGGTGTGGTACAGTTTGAGCACTGATAAGTGTGAATAAATTAAACTCTTGTTTTGATCTCCCTGTGTTCAGAATTCTCATTGGGGTGTATGTGAGGTGAAGTGGAGTTCACAGAGTGATTGTCAAAACTGTTCCACAGATCCTCCCTTTATTTTTTTGATTTTACAAAATATTTCATCTGGCTGGGGTATGGAAAAATCTGTGGATTTTGGACACACTTTATTTGTGAGCCCTCTGTGCCATGTTGCTTTGCATTGTGGCTTCCTGTGTCATAACTTCCTGTTTTTTGGTAGAACAGACTTTCATGCTTTGCCACCTGTGGTGCATTTCTAAGGGTAAGAGGGCTGCAGTTCACAAAATCCATGAACGTGCTGTGGTTTGCATTTTGCTTCAAGCTGAAGTAGCTCAGATAAAGTCAGACTAAAGCTTATCAAGGTTAGCTATGTGTGGGTTTTAAAGAGTAACAGTTTAGATCAAATTCTTCTATTTTGAAGATTGTTACAGGTGAGGATAATAGCAGAGTGCAGGTGTTGAGGATCACCTGCAAAAGTGGTGATCCTTAAAAATTGACTGCATAAGAGATTGTGATGTTTGCGGTTGAAACAACTGCCTTGAATGGCCAGGGTTTTGCTAAACTTTTTGATCAATCTGACATAAATCTTAACACTGAAGCCCTCAGATAGAGGAACCACTCTGCTTGATTATTCACGTGTGAATTCTGTTATCACTTGTGCAGAAAACCTTTAACAAATGAAAATAAAATATGCTGGCCACAATAGGAACTATATCCAAACCCAGAGCTCTTAACTGGGTTTAAAAATAGGTTTATTTTCTTTTCTGGTCCAAAGTGTGCCTCAGCCTCTGTTTGGCAGCTGGGAGGGATCAGCACTTGTTTTGCTTCAGAGTTTCCTGTCTTTTTTGAACTCTTTTGGAGCCAAGCAACAGTGTTTTGTCCTTTTCATTGTACCACTATGTATGATACATGTGAGTGGAGGAATTTCTGCTCTTATCTAAGGTGAATACTTTATCTGTGTTTCTTCGGAGAACTCTTTCTGTGCCGTTGTCTTTAGAAGCTGTGCAAAAGCTGAAAATCTTAGGCCTGACTTCATCCTTAATCTGAACCTGAGTGGGAAAGGTGAGGGTGTAATAAACAGGGCTCTGCTTCCCCTTGATCTCTGTAGTAAGCACTGTTGAATGTTGTCTTGGTATTGTAAAAGAGCTTCTGTGGTATTAGAAAAGAACTTCTGCCTGTTTTATGTTCCTGGGCTAGAGAACAGGAATTTATACCAAACTGATAAAGGTCTTCCATGGGAAGAGCTGTCCTGAAACCCCCTGATGGGCCTGGGGCTCTTTGGTACTAATTTGCTCTGGCACTTGATGAGCTTGTGCGTGCATGTGAGCTTTTGGCTTTAGGGGCTGTTTTATTTTGGCATTATTGTTCTGTTTCAGGCAGGTTGGTTGTGTACAAGCCCAAATATGTTCATGTGGCCCAACAGCCCTTTCCAGAAATCTCTTTTCCTCTTTTAACAGTTTTTGTTTCCTGCTCAAAGACTAAATGATTGATGCTTGAGTCTCTCTGGAAAGGAGCTTTCTCTAAATAATTGATGGACCTGAAGGTAACAAAGTCAGGTGTTTGCGTTGCTGCCCTTGCAGCTACAGGATGAAGCAGAGTATTTGGAGGCAGCAGAATTTTGTGAATTTTAGTATTTTTTAAAACCTCATTTGTTCAGCTTGGCAAGTTATGTAGTCTTTCTTGGGCATAAAATGGGTGCTGAAATATGTTCACTGACGTCTAGAAACTTCTGGAGTAGAAAACAAAGGGAATAGTCTCAAGTGACTTGGATCTGAAGGAAGGCATCTGAGAGGTTGGGCTTCGGTGACAGCAGCCTTCTGACTGCCAGGGAATGGAGCTGATTCTTTGGATGCATATTGCTTTTCCCTCAACAGCTGGGCTCAGGGGACTTCATGGGAGGTGAAATATGACAGCAGTGGTGTGGCTGTATCGAATAAAGGGTAAAAACAGCAAAGCTTTCTACCCTGCCCTGAGTACTAAGTTACTTCAGTTTGGCTGCATGGCAAGCCTGTGGAGGAGGAAGGTTCATCAAAAGAGTTGTCTGACTTGAAACTAATGGAAAGCAATTAGTGAGATGACTCTTGGAAAGCAATTGGTGAGATGACTCCTGGAAGACTGCAGGGCAGCTTTCTTTGCCAAGTGTCCATCATGCTGAGCTTGCAAAGGATATTTTGATTAGGTCATATCAGTGGTCTGCTCCTGCAAAACAGGGGAGTGTTCAGCTGAAGGAGCCTGTCCAGCTGGGGCAGGTGGGAAGGGAAGGTGTAGTTCAGCTGTGTGGTGCTGTTTAATCTGAGCTGTGCTGCGTGTGCAGCCAGTCATGCTGTACTGTCAGCCCGTTCAGGTGGCAGTTTCCTGTGTTGTCATGTTGTTTCCATCAGGAGCTATGTTTCTCATTTTACTGAAGGCACAGGTTAGGAAGTGTTTGCGTCTAAGCTTTGCACCTTCTAATTCTGCTGGCATGTTTTAATTAGCTGTTGCAGAGACTGAGGTCTGTGTTGGAAGGAGCACTGACTGCGTCCCTTCACAGCCTTTGTTGCCCTGATCTCTTAATGGCACAGTGTTGTTCTTGGCATCATCTTGAGAGGTGGAAAGCCT